ATTATTTACATTATTCGGACTATTGTCCTCATCTTTGTCGGGCATATATATTACAACGTTTTGCCCTTTTCAGCATCTGTCTATATTTCTGAGATGAGGTATTATGTACACTATTTACATTATTCGGACTATTGTCCTCATCTTTGTCGGCATATATATATTACAACGTTTTTCCCTTCAGCATCTGTCTATATTTCTGAGATGAGGTATTATGTACACTATTTACATTATTGGACTATTGTCCTCATCTTTATTATCATATTTATTATGTTTCTACCATTGCACTCTGGCCTTCTTTAGGTGGTTGGAATGTCGAACAGAACCCTTTATTTCACTCACTGGGGTAGACTGTTCTAGTTCCACATACCATGTTTAATAGATGTCAGTTATCTAACTTTATCCACTGTGCCATGTGTGCTCAGCATGAAAAAAAATGACTTCAAAAACCACCTGAAGAAAGCCGGAGGGTACAAGGGCCAAAACATTTTAATAAATATGGCAACAAAGATGAGGCCAATAGTCCGAATAATGTAAATAGAGATCATATAGAGTCAAACATTGCTTCAAGCTACAAGAAGCTGTGAAGAGCCATGATTGTTCACATCCTGAAGGGACATGGTACAGTAAAAAAAAAACAAAAAAACTTAACAACCCTATTCTTCATAATCTGTGATTTTTAGTAAAAAATAACTTTTTTTTTCTATGTTAAGCAATAAGAAAAAGACATTGTTCAGACAATATTAACACCTTTCCCCTCTCCTATATTAAGCAATAAGAAAAAGACATATAAGTAATGTTCAGACAATATTAACTTCTTAACAACCCCCCTGCTTAAGCAATAAGAAAAATACATATAAGCAATGTTCAGACAATATTAACTTCTTAAACATCCCCTCCCCTCCCAGCTTAAGCAATAAGAAAAAGACAATGTTCGGACAATATTAATAAAATGAATAAATTCTAATCTGTGAGCATAGATAGATAAAACAAAAAAGAAGAAATAAACTGATATGAATAACGCTTCTTGTTTTGTTAAATATATATGCAATACTTACAAACATGTTTCCTGGAATTTAATGTTTCCTGGGGAAACATCTAGTATAGGTTTATCTCTTGTTTCCTGTTTATGATTGCGTTTCCGGTTCCTTCTAAAGTCTACTTCAATTCTCTCTTTCTAATGTCTTTTGCCTAAACTCTGAACTTTTATTTACTATTCTTTTATTTTTTATATTTTTATTTTTTCCTTAATAGTAATAGATAAGTTCAACTAGAAATAGTTCACACTGCTCCCTGGTCTTTTGAACAGGAGTAGAGATTTATTCCTTGTTTTTCTGTTTTAAATTGTGTTTCTGGTTACTTCTAAAATCTACTTCATCTCTATATTTCTAATGTCTCTGTCTAAAGCTCTGAAATTTTATTTACTATTCCTTTACATCTTTTTTCCCCTCCCCACTTTTTTGAATAGGAGTAGAGATTTTTCCCTTGTTAACTTTTTAGAATTGGTTTTCCAGTCCCTTCTAAAATGTTTTCCTTTTCCTTCATTCCCAGTAACCCCTTGCATCTTAGTGGCATTATTGCCTTGTTTGGGGTAAAAATCTGAGATGGCTATTTTCTTTGAAACTTTTTTTGCAGTTTTGATCTAATTTCTTTATTTCTTTTTTCTTCTTTTTATTTCTTTATTCTTTTTTGTTTCTTTTCTTCTTTTTCTTTTCTTTTCTTTTCTTTTCTTTTCTTCTTTTTCTTTTCTTCTTTTTCTTTTCTTTTCTTTTCTTTTTTTTTTTTCTTTTTTTTTTTTCTTTTCTTCTTTTCTCTTTTCTTCTTTTTCTTTTCTTCTTTTTTTTTTTCTTTTTTTTTCTTTTTTTCTTTTCTTTTTCTTCTTTTCTTTTTCTTCTTCTTTCTTTTTTCTCTTTTTCTTTTTTTTTCTTTTTCTTTTTTCTTCTTTTCTTTTTTCTTTTCTTTTTTTTTTTTTTTTTTTTTTTTTTTTTCTTTTTTTTTTTCTTTTCTTTTTTTTTTCTTTTTTTTTTCTTTTTTTTTTCTTTTTTTTCTTTTCTTTTTTTTTTTCTTCTTTTTCTTTTCTTTTTCTTTTCTTTTCTTTTTTTTTCTTTTTTTTTCTTTTCTTTTCTTTTTTTTTTTTTTCAAAGGATATCCGATGCTGACAAGGAAAAAAACTGCACAATGTTAACTTTAAAAATTGACCAGACAAAAAATTACAGTGAGTTCAATAATCTATCAATGCTAATCATTCATCTCAAAATTATAGGCACCTGTTAGGGTCCTGGCTATTGGCAAATAGTACTCCTACTCTACAAAAAACAATATGAAAGTATAAAAATACATTTTTATAGTAAAATTACCAACAATGCATTTTTATAACAAAATGGCCAACTAAACATTTTATTGTAAAATTACCAGCAATAACGGGATAGGAATGTAGGATGTCAATGTAGAAAGTGGACTCCATGTGCAGAGTTCAAATTCTGATTGAGTTTACTGTATTCAGTTTTTCACAAATGTCATTGAGAAAGGTATATTATCCATTTCTTCTCTCTCATGCTATGGATTAAATATCAAGGTACAGTAGGCTCTAGCCTGGGCTGGCAACCAGTTTAGGAAAAGGATAACTGTGAATTTAAAACTCGTTGGTTTTGAAGCTGCAAATGTCACCTTATAAAAACCTACTTGATATAGAAATCACAGCAGCAACACATAGCATGGTTAGTCCTGGGCATGATGATAAACTACATCTGGCAGCAAGGCCCCTGATCGGGAGATTGGAGGTTTTGAGGGAAGCAATTCTTAATTGCTGTTGTTCCCAAGTCCACCCTGACTCAAAGTGGTAGCACCTGTTAGGGTCCTGGCTATTTCTAGATTACCCCCACCCTTAAAAAAAATAAGAAAATATAAAAAAAACATTTTTTATAGTAAAATTTTAACAATGCATTTTTATAACAAAATGGCCAACTAAATATTTTATTGTAAAATTACCAGCAATACATTTTATAATAGAATTACCAACTATATATTTTATAGCAGATTTCAGTATTAAATAATCTATAGAGGTTGATATGCCTCTAAAAACCAACGAAGCATAATAAAGAAAATCTGTTATAACACTACCGGTTACTCACCAATACCTTTAAGGAGTTTTAGTCTTTTTTTTTTTTTTTTTTTTTTTTTTTTTTTAAGGAAATTAACCCCAAGCAAGGCAGGAGTGCCACTATCATACAAGGGGGTTACAGAGGATTGAGAACAAGAGTAAAGAAGCGTGTTTGAGGAAAGGATTCAGAGAAGGCCAGGGAACAAGCTCACAGTGTCAGATGTTGATTGACATTACTCTTGAATATTTGAAGATTATCATCATTGTGGAAGCAAGTAAGGGGAAGGGAGTTTCACAGATGGGAACTGCGAGACAAAAAGCTGTTTGAGTAGAAGAGATGGTTACATTTAACCATTTTGACAGTGAAAGGGTTGGACCAAGATGCCAGCCTGGTAACTCGCTTAAATTCATGTAGTCTGGGAACCAGTGAAAGTAGCTCGTCAGGACAGTTGCCATGAAAATACTTGTATAAGAGACAGAGAGAGGCCATGGCACATCTGTGGGATAGCAATTGTAGACTAGATGCCAGATTAGGACTTATCATATTGCATATTCATCTCTGGATTCTTGAAGCATGTTCAGAATACCATGGATAGAGTATGTGAGCAATGAGGAAATTTTAAGGAAAATAGAAACAAAAAAGTCATAGAATCAGAAGGATGGACATAAAAGTTTACAATACAATTTTAATGTGAATTTTTTTTTTTTTTTTTTTTAAATCATTTCATCCCAAGTCAGTCAGTTATATGCCATGCGTGATACACACTTAGGTAATCATGTATCTTTCGATACCTGACTGATGAGGCAGATTTTTTTCCCCACAGCAGGTTGCCATTTCTATCTGCAGTAGACCAGTTGCCATCCAAGGCTATAGAACCTAGTCTGTCCTAGAATTTACCCATAGCTTGGGGTAGAAGAAGAGGATTCATACCTTTCCCAAGAGTCTGTCAGTTATGTGCTTAGGTGATCATGTATCTTTCAATACATGACTGATGTGGCAGATTTTTTTCCTGCAGTAGGTTGCCTTTTCTATCTGCGGTAGACCAGTTGCCACTTAAGGCTATGGAACCTAGTCTGTTCTGTGATTTACCCATAGCTGGGGGTAGAAGAGGATTCATACTTTTCCCAAGAGTCAGTCAGTTATGTGCCATGCTTGATACATGCTTAGGCGATCATGACTGATGAGGCAGGTTATTTTTTCCCGCAGTAGGTTGCTATTTCTTCCTGTAGTAGACCACTTGCCATCCAAGGCTATAGAACCCAATCTGTCCTGCTATTTTACCCATAGCTGGAGGCAGGGAGAAGAGGATTTATACCTTTCCCAAGGGTATTAGCATGTAAGTGAATACAATGGATTTGCCTGGAATTCAAACTCAACTCTCTGTTTCCTCAATCCGAGCCACTATCCATTACTCCACCGTGCCTCCTTTTTCATCCCAAGCAAGGCAATAATGCAGCTACAACACAGGAGGTTACAGGGAGGGAAGGGGAATGAGAAAACTGAGAATGGGTTTAGGGTTGAGGAAAGTACAATAAAAGAACAGGGTTCAATAAGATGGTGTTTGACATTGCATTTACATTTTCGAAGATTTGTAGTTGTCAGGGAAGCAAGAAATCGAGATAGATTTTCACAGATTACAAAAACTCATAATAAAATTACTAACAATACACATTATCTGTAGCTGAAGGCATACAATTATGTTTAAAATATATTTAGTTGAAGCCATAAAACAGTATTCAAAATATTTAGATTTTAGTAATAAATAACCGATAGAGGTGTTGATATGCCATTAAACAAACTAAGGCTTGTGAGGCTGTGGTCCTGTTCCCTGGAGGGGAGTTTAATGTCACTCTGGTTGAGGGAAGAGGCTACTATTATTTCTTTGACTAACCTTAGTTTAGTATGATATACTGTCAAATTTCTGCCTCTGTGACACTCTCTCACTCTCATCCTCCTGCTGCAACATTCTCTCTCAGTATTGCCTCTAAAATGAAGTATTCTGTCTCTGTCATTGTCTGCCTGGCACCCTCTCTCTCTCTGCCTTCTCTGTGTCAACCCTCTCTCTCTCTTGCCTGCCTCTGTGTCACCCTCTCTCTCTCTCTGCCTGCCTCTGTGTCACCCTCTCTCTCTCTCTGCCTGCCTCTGTGTCACCCTCTCTCTCTCTCTCTGCCTGCCTCTGTGTCACCCTCTCTCTCTCTGCCTGCTCTGTGTGTCTCTCTCTGCCTGCTCTGTGTCTCTCTCTCTCTCTCTGCCTGCCTCTCTCTCTCTCTCTCTCTCTCTCTGCCTTTTGGTTTCTCTCTCTCTCTCTCTCTCTGCCTGCCTCTTTGTCTCTCTCTCTCTCTCTCTCTGCCTTTCTCCCTCTCTCTCTCTCTCTCTGCCTGCCTCTGTGTCTCTCTCTCTCTCTCTCTCTCTCTCTGCCTCTGCCCTCTCTCTCTCTCTCTCTCTCTCTCTCTCCTCTCTCTCTCTCTGCCTGCCTTGTGTGTGTCTCTCTCTCTCTCTCCTCTCTGTGTGTCTCCACCTCTGTGTCTCTGTCTTTCTGTCCACCTCTGCTCTCTCTCTCTCTCTGTGTGCCTTTCTCTCTCTCTCTCTGTGTGTGTGTCTCTCTCTCTCTGCCTGCCTCTGTGTTACCCTCTCTCTCTCTCTCTATGCCTTTGTGCCTCTCTTCTCTCTCTGCCTCACATAATCTGCCTCCTCTCTATCTGCTTTTGTCAGGACTCTTTCATTTTGTCTCTCTCTCATGCTCTTTTTCTTTCTCTCTCTGCAACTCTCTCCACCTGTATATAACAATTTCTTCTCCTCTTTTTACTTTTTTTTTTTTTTTTTTTTTTAAAAGATACCAAGAATTTGTTAACCATTATATTACCCTATTTTTCTATCTTGTAATTCAAATGTTTTTCCTGATTTTCCCACGGTAGATATTTTTGAAGGAACTTGTATTTTTTTTTTTTTTTCTTATCTTTGTCAGATTTTGCTCCCACCTTCTCATAAAATAAAAAATAAAAAACAAAAGAGAAAGTAAAATCCCACTAATAATGAAAACCAGCCTTGGAGATAAAGCATTAAAAGAAAAAAAAAAGAGAAAATCACTGCAGTAAGAAAAACTAATTTACACTTCTTATTTTTGCTCATTAAATATTGCAAGACAATGTTTTTATAAGAATATAGATTCTGGTTTAAGCAGAATGCTGCTCTCTATCAAGACTGCCGGCTTGTGATACTGGAGCCCTACTTGCAGAATAGGATGTAATCACATTTTTTTAATCTTTTCATCCCAATTGTATATTTTATTTTTATTTTCTATCTCGCTGGCAATTTCTGGCATTAGCTTTTGTTCTTTCTTCATTTGGGTTTTCTTATTTTTTTATTCTGGTTGTTCGTTTTTTTTTTTTTTTTCCAAGTTTTTTAAGTCTTTTTTTTTTTTTATGACTCTCAATCTCTTTTGATAGAAAGTCTCTTACTCTCTGAAAACAAACCTTTTCTCCCCCAGATACATTTTTCTCTACCCCCCTCTACATGCCCCTCTACCCCCCTCGATGCACATCCTTCTCTACCCCCCCTCGACAAACGCTCCTTCTCTACCCCCCCTCGATGCACGCTCCTTCTCTTTAACCCTCTTGATGCACTCCTTCTCTACCCCCCCGATAATCAGACATTCTCTAACCCCTGATACATGGCTCCTTCTCTACCCCCCTTGATACACGCTCCTTCTCTACCCCCCTTGATACACGCTCCTTCTCTACCCCCCCTTGATACATTTCCTTCTCTATCCCCCCCCTTGATACACGCTCCTTCTCTACCCCTCTCAATAACATTTTGAAAAAAAACTCACTCTCTCAATGTGCACTTACTACTTGAAAAACTCTCACTCTTGATATATCCTTCCTACTGGAAAGACTCTCTCTCTCTCAATACACACTTCCTGCTGGAAACTCTCTCTGTTTCAGTGTGCACTTTCTGCCAGAAAGACTCAGTGTGCACTTTCTGCCAGAAAGACTCAGTGTGCACTTTCTGCCAGAAAGACTCAGTGTGCACTTTCAATATGTGCTTTCTGCCAGAAAAACTCTCTCTCAGTGTGCAATACCTACTGGAAAAAAATATTTTCTGTCTCTCAATATGTGCTTCCTCTTTGAAAAACTCTCTCTCTCTCTGAATACATAATTTCACATACTCTTTCAGTCTGCGTGTGTGTGTCTCTCTCTCTCTATACCTTGTTCCATTTTTCCTTCATTCTTTTTCTTTTCTCTTCACTTCATCCTTTACTCCTCTGATTATATTTCTTCAAATCTTTCTTCATGTATTTCCCCCCACTCTGTTTCCTTCTTTCTTTTCCTCTCATTTCTTCATACATTTTGTCTTTTTTTTTTTTCTTTCTTTTCCATTCACCCCCTCACACTCACATCATCAATCCTTGTTCTTTCCTTTTTGCTGAAACCAACTTGATCAGGCTGGTTAAGAAAGCCCCTAAGGTTAAGAAAAAGAAAAATTACCTGAATATTGTCTCCCTAATTTCTTCTGATTCATTAGCTTATTTCTTCTGGGTGTGAAAACTGATAACACTTCCAACCTCTAGGAAAAAAAAAAATGGAGAGAAAGATAGTGAGCTGTGGAAGAAAAAAATAGAGGATAAAGCTTATATGTAAAAAATTGGATGTAAAGAGAGAAGCCAGGTGTAGAAAGATTGGAAACATAAAAGAGATTGCATATATGACAAAGTATACTGAAGATGAAAAGAAATTGATCAAAGAATTAAAAACCCAAGAAGAAAAACAACAATGAAATAACAGATGAGGAATTGAAAAAAAATGTGAGAAAAATAGAAAGGTAAAAAAAAAAATGAATTAAATTGAAGAAAAATACAAAGAAACAATGGAATAAAATCATGAAAAAAAAATGAGAGTAAGAATAAATCAAAAAGAGAGTTAATGAAAATTTAAAAGAGAAATGAAAATGAATACAGAAAATAAAAAAAATATTGAAAAAAAAAAATGGAGAGAAAGAGACTATCTATCATTAAGCATTTTTTATCTGATTGTTTGTAACTCTCTGTTTCTTAAAATCTGAGTTTAGTATCTAAATCAAGTTGAAAATATCTAAGTCAGTGTTTCCCAAACATTTGTGACCTGTTGGTCCTCAGTGCGGAAATGTAATTTCAGTATTTCATTGTTTAGCTTTATCAAATACAATTTATCTTAAGCGAAAAGAAAAATGAAAATAACTTCAAATTTCAAGCTGCAGAGAAGGGAATAGGAAACCAATCCAGTCTTTCCCATAAATATATATATATACGAGATTAAAACGTATTGGGACTATTGTTATGGTAAAGGAGCTAAAGTATGCAGTGTGAAGCTACTTGGCATAGATTGACATTGAACTCTGTTGTGCATACACTCTCACTTCCTTTTCTTGTTTATAGTAGTGCTTGGAAGGAATGTGTGTAGAGTGTGGTCTTCTCACTACACCACAAAGGTTCCATCAGTGACCATTGGTTGTGCAGCAGTTTTTGGCTAAGAAAAAAATCATTTCCCAGATCCAACAACTACCGTTTTCCCCCGATCTCGTCTCTAGCAACTTACCTGATAAAAAAAATCAAATTACCTTTTGAAAGGAACAAGGTTTCAAAATGTCAAGGAAATCCAAGAGAATGCTATGAGGCAGCTGCTTACTATCCCAAAAAAGGAGTTTCAGGAATGTTTCCATCAATGGAAATGATGCTGGATAAAGTGTGTGTTTCAGAAAAGGGACTACTTTGAAGGAGATTAAATGCTGAATTCATATGTTTATAGTTTTTCTTTTATAACACCAGTCCTAATACTTTTGATTAGACTCTGTATGTTGCCTCTCAATATATATATATATATATATATATATATATATATCTACAATTGAATTATTTATACAAAAAAAAAGAATAGATTAGTAAAGTTAATGATATAAAATGGTGAAATCTCTTATCTTAAACAAAATTTAAAGTTGCATTAACCTACAAATCACTCAATGAATGTTATGATCCTCGTTTTTAATAACTACAAGCTGTATAAACTTTTTTTTTAATATGCAAGTACTTTCAACTGTACATTCAGTCATCCTCAGACCGAAAAAAAAAATCAATAATCAAAAATAATATTTTTTTAATGTGTTCTTGTTAATGGATACAAACAAGACTTCAAAATTTTTGGTTTTTCATATATATTCAAAGATATAGATAGATAGATGTGAAGAAAATTTTTAGATGCAGTTCAATTTATATTAGAATGAATCATTTATACAAAAGTAGATTAGTAAAGTTAATGATATAAAATGGCAAAATCATTTCGCAAAAAAAAATTTTAAAGTTGCATTAACCTACAAATCACTCAATGAATGTTATGATCCTTGTTTTTTAATAACTACAAACTGTATAAGATCTTTTTTAATCTGCAATATACTTTCAACTGTACATTTAGTCATCCTCAGGCATGAAAAATTATTTTGTTTTTAGTAAAATCCAGGTAGCATCAGAGACGAAAAATTAAATGTGAATTGAAATGTTTTTTTTAGAAATGAGTTATTGTTAATATTATAAAACTTTTTGACGCTTTTAGTCAAAACGCTAAAAATTTTTTGAAAATTTAAGAGAGTGTATTTTTTACTAATGTTAGTAATTTGAGAATTTTTTTTGTTAGAATTTATCAGTCAATGTATTTTTGCACCACATATTTTGATATATATATATATAATATATATATATATATATGATTCAGTCTGGCAGAGAGGGTGGACGTTTTTTAAATATTCACATTAATTTTAAACTAAATTTTTTTTATCTTATGTGTTTTATATTGAATTAGAATTTGACAAAATCAAGTATGGAAAACAACATTGCTCATGTGGTGTCTGTTTTCATTGATGTATTTATGATGGCATTCTTGGAAGTTTGCCTTCACTCTTTCCAGCATTGCTCTGTAGATTTGGGTGACTTCTATGTGAATAGCTTCTGTCAAACCATCCAATATATAGGGCTTATTCTCATATACATGTGCTTTGAGGTTTTCTCTCAAGAAATAATCACACATAGACAGGCTTAGGAGGTCAAGGAGTGTCAGCAAATCAGGAAATGAGCCTGTCACCAAAGAGCAGGTGAAGAATATCCATTGATGGTCTGGCTATGTGGACTGTCACCCCATTCTGCTGAAACCACGCACATTGGATAGGAATATGTTTTCATCGTAATTCAGGGGCAACAAAGTTGTTTATCATTTTGATGTAACCCTCAGAGATTCACAGTAGCAGTATGTCCATTATGGCCTTCAAAAAAAGTAAGGATCAATGACATCAGCTTTTCCAACAGTATACCAAACATTCACTTTTGTGCTGTGCAGTGATCTTTTGTGCAGTTCTCTTGGATTTTCAAGAGCCCAATAACGACAATTCTGTTGATTTACTATGCCATTCAGATGAAAATGAGCTTCAACACTCATTAACAAAATGAGGTTGTCATCTGACTAAAAAATTGCTTCCATCTGACGTGCAAAGTTAAACCACTGTACATAGTCCCCCTGGTCTCAACTGTTGTCCAGTGACGGATTTCTTCATCCTGGGTATGACGATAAACTACTTCTGCATCCAGGGTAAGATGATAAACTATGTCCAACAACAAGGCCTCTGATCAGGAGGTTTTGAGGAGTGTGGAACCACCTCTTAATTGCTGGTGTTCCCAGGTCCACCCTGACCCAGGGTAGTAGCATCTGTTAGGGTCCCAGCTATGGGCAAATAGTTAACCCTGAAACTGAGGTAAAAAGCATTATAAAAGTGTAAGAATAGGTTTTAATAGCAGAAGTACTTTGTAAAAAATTTTTACCAGCAATATGTTTTTGAAAAAAAAATATTACCAGCTATACATTTTTAAAATAATATTACTAGCTATACATTTTTGAGAAAAAAAATATTACCAGAAATAGATCTTTGACAAAACAAAATATTACCAGAAAAAAAGTTGTCTGTATTAAATAACCCATTGAGGTTGATATGTCATAAAACAAAACAAACTAAACTAATTTGTAGGGGGTGTGAAAATGCAGTTTTTCATGCAAGATACACCGTACTGAACGATTATTGGGTGATAAGTTCAGTAGCATGCCTCTGAGCAGAGCGATTCAAACTGTGCAGCAAAGCTTGTCTGAGGCATTCTATATTTTCTGGGGTATGTACCGTTCATGGAACCCCCGCTGGTCTGCTGTTCATTAGTATACATTGTGTACAAAGTGCATGAATCCAACATAAGATTGTGTTACAAGTGGGAACAGCCTGTTCGGTGAATGTTGAATTGACAACTGACTGCTATGACAGACTCATTATTCGTCATGAAATTGTCGTAGGCAAACATACGGTGCTCTATCATCCACAGCACCATGGCTTCAACTGAAAAGAAAAAAAAATGCTAATAAACCATTGACCAAATGGTACCTGTCAGACATATGTCCCTCCTCCTGGGGCTGAGTAATAGCCATTTCAAAAACATCAGTCATCTCTGTCTCCGTGTTTTCTTTATAGTTTTATCCAATGCATTGCACTTTCAATATTTTTTATGTTTGAATTTCTAGCATGTGGTGTTATTCTTTTTTACAATATTTAATGATGGAGACTTTAATTTCTTATACTAGTAGGAGTGTTTATTCTCAGCCTTTACATGTTGAGTGCAACTGGAATTTGAGTGAGCGCCTTTTCTATTTTTTAAGAACACACACACACACACATATATATATATATATATATAAGTTATGTAGAACTTGGTAATCCGTATGGGTAATCCCAAGGAGGATGAAATCCTGAGAGCTCAATGTAAATCCAGAGCTAATATTTAAAAGAAAAACAGGCCACTTTAAGGTACCATTATAATAATTTATTTCACCAGAATCCTTTTTAAGGACATTGGATCATCAGATAGCACTTCCAAAAATGAAATGAAATTGAAATTAAAATTGATGGGTAGTGTAATTTTTTGTAATTTAACAGAGAGGTAAAAAATATATTTAAATTTAGACATGGTAGAGTATAGGGAGGGATTAATTTCATTATCTCTCTCAAGTATACTTTGTATTGGGGAGGAGGAGGACCAGACCTTGACCTATTTAATTTTGACAGTTAACTTAAAGGAAGATATAGGGGAGAATTCCTTAAAAGAAAAAGAGGGAGAGGAAGCAAAGAGAATATATATATATATATATATATATATATATATATATATAATATTTTTAACACATTCTGGACAACTTTCTAAACTTTTTCAATCACAAGTCTTGCGTCAATGTATAGCAAGATTTACAGGCACTTTCTAACAAAGCTGTCCGCTGGAATTGTCTCCTCAAAGAGATATCATCAAAAAGTCACCCCCTTTGAAAAATCGACCAAATGTGTAAAAATCTTTTGAAAATTTCTGCAAAACTGTTTTATATCTTTTTATATTATAATTTGTTTTCGATTACTTGGTGTTGCCTCTATATTTTTTATATACTCTTGAAACATAAAGATGTTGAATTGATTGGTTTGTTTTTTATGGCTTATCAACCCATTGCAGGTGATTTAAAGCCCGAAAATATCTTTGGATTGTAAGAATTTTTTGGAGATTATAATAATTTACGGATGCCAGTCCTACTGTTTAACACATAATTGCAAAGAGGTTGATTCATAGCTTTTCCAAAGGTATTTGCACATAAGGAAATATAATTAACCCAACTGGATTTGGAACTTGGCTCCCCAAATTCCAATTCACAGCAGTTATCCATTACACAATCCACACATCCAAGCTTACAGCACTTGGTATTTCCAAGTGGTCACCCATCTAGGAACTGACCAGACTCAACATTGCTTAACTTTGTTGTTCAGATGACGACAGGTGTTTCAACGTCACATGGACGTAAGCCATAAAGATGCCTTCCAAAAGCTAAGCAGAGTATTAAGAAACAGGAAAATTTAATTAGAAACAAAACAAAAACTGCTGAACAGTTATGCAATATCATCCTCTCAGATTACAGTGAATGTTAGACAATCTTCTCACAGATAAAGAAGAGACTTGAGTCAGCAGAAATGGGTGTTCTACAGAAGGAAGCTGAGAATAGCATGGATGGAGCATGTGACTAACAAGATAAAGTTAAACAAAAAAGGATGCTTATACTTGGAATCGAAAATAGTTTGAAATTTCCAAGACACACGAGAAAAGAGGGATTGGAGAATTTGACACTCACAAGGCATATTACAGGCAAGAGGGAAAGAGCAAATAACCTATCTAACAAGCTTTTGTAAATGGATGACAGAAAAGGAGTGAAGATGATGGTGAAAATACAGAATTTACTAAGAGCTACAAAGGATAGGAAATTGTGGAGGGCCATGGTCATCCACGTCCTGAATGAATGACACATAGAAAAATAATATCAACAGTGCAAATAATTCAAACAGAATATAACAGCCTGCAAGAAATACTCAACTCCAACCACACTTGGTCTTGTGCTTCTGTTATATATTTAAAGATTCTTGATAAAATCCAAAAGAATCTGCAATGTTATTAGTCTTGACATTTCATCTCAGCTTCAATATCACTTTCCTGTGCTTTTTTTTCTAGAAATATTTTATGGTAATTGTTCTGATGATCTTTACTCTATGGTACCTAGACTTTATGAATATAAACTCCAGAACTAGTTTGGCAGCAAGGTCATATCAATTTTACAGTTGAATTGTCTAGATATAACCAAGAGTTCTATGCTAACAATTTCTTTTATCGCACTTCTTGCTTGTGGATCTCTCTTCCACTTGTTTCTCAGTGAATTCAGAAATTTAAATGCAATGTCAATCGTTATCATCTGTCTTAATTCTTTTATTGTCCTCTCTCCTTCATAATAATTTTTCTCATATTCTCTAACACTTAGTAACCTCTTGCTTCTTAGTGGTTTTATTGCCTTACTTGGGGTGAAAATTAAAAAAAAAGAAAAGCTAGTCAGTGATTGTGACTAGAAGATAGAGCAGATGATGCCCTCCCACTGCCCCAAACTTTGTTCTTATGTCACATTCAATTTTATAAAATCTTACCTATTATAAAATGCAGATTGTGTGTGTGTGTACGTTTATATATTGGATTGGATTTCTTACATCTTTTCAACCGATTTCAACAAAACTTCACAGGACTACGTAAAATTACCTTGCAGTGGTTCTGACAGCGCCAAAAATAGGAAAAACACAATTGTTTTTGCACGAAATCAATTTGAAAACATGATTAAGTCCCCAGAATGAAAGGGGGACAACTCATATCGAGTTTTACTTATAAAAAACAAGGTTGTGTGTGTGTTCATTTATATATGGGATCGCATTTCCTACATTTTTCAACTGATTTCAACAAAACTTCACTTTTTTTTTGGCAGGTAGTGTTTCTTATTGTCTTGCACACTTTTTTCTTTATTTTTACATTCAGAATGCTTTAAAAATTCCATTTACAAGACAATTGTTTATAATAAAATTCTATTCAATCGGTTGATAACGATTGAAAACAATGTTTTTGTTTGGGTTTGACCAATTTGTAAAAAAAAAAAAAAACCTAATTAAGACATGTGTGTCCGTCAACCTTAAACAATAATCTTTGTCAATTTTATTTTTCAGTCTTTATGATGGTCGATACTTGATCTATCTCTTACTGTTACATCCCCGGGCAATGCCGGGCTCTACTGCTAGTCATTAATAAATATCATTACATGTTTTTTTTTTGTTTGTTCTTTTTAATAGTGATGTTCACCCTGTACATTGCCCAAGAGCCACTCAGGTGTAGGGTATGGGGATGTGTTAGGACGATAACGGTTTACCCTGTACTGATGTAAAGTGTGAGACATACAGGAATTTAGTCTTACACAAATTTATAAGAGAAGATGTGTCAAATGGATCTAAAGAAGTTTCTACCTGCTTAAAATAACTTTTGGTTCCAAAAGGAATATTTATGCAACTATTTCAAGACATTTGTTGATTATATTTTTGCAGATTTTGTACTTGTTATTTGTGCTGCTTTTTGTGGGTGCCTATTCTCATTTTAGCTTAAACTTTTGCAGGAAGGGCAGGGGGATTAAGTTTTTGCCAAATTTGCTTCAATGCTCTGTCCATGGCATTCTCGGTATCTTTCTATAGAATCTCTCTTAGAATCTTAGACCTTTGTGTCCCCCTCCACAAAACCATGGAATGTCAAAACCACTATTATTTTAACTAGCTTCACTCCCCAGCAATGTTCATTGTTTTAAAAAATGAATATTAGAATTGTAATAAAACCTTTTGTGATGCCAATGAACACTTGTTGTCACTTTGTGATGCCAACAAATACTCGTTGTCCCTTTCGAAATGCTTGTAGTAGAGACTTTGTAATTGCAGATATAACTATAGTATGTCATTAAACAATACTGGTGCTAGATGCCTTCGAATATCACTCACACTAATAGTACTTGCTCAATAATTGTTGCTCGGAAAGTAATCTGTATAGTGATCCGAATAGAGAAATAGTATAGTGGATAGAGTAGAGAATAGCAGTCTGTATAGTAATAGAGGATAGACTAGAAATAACGATCATTCAGACATCATGCAACATCCTAATTATGCATTTCCTCTATGGTTAGGTGGTCTACTTAATTCAATAATGGGATCGTCTGTGTTTGTTCACTGGTAATCTGTGTTCAAACTCAAGTGTCGGCAGTGACACTTTATCCTTATATAACAAAACCTAAACATTCAAACAAAAAATGTATAAATTCACTTTCATATGTTTTCCTTCAATTTAGTTTTTCAGTTTTCCTTTCACGTTTATCTTCACGCTAGGATTTTTGTTTGAACTCAAAATGATTTTCTCTTTTTGTTGTTTTTTTTTTACTGACCTAAAAGGTATATAAATGAATACTTGTTCAACTCTTTTATTGATTATTTCTTTGTATATTTTCTATTTATTATTATAAGAACTGGAATTTAGTTACTGCCAAATATTTTTTTTCTTTTATGCACTGTGTTTCTTCATGACTTTCCACAATTTTCTATTTTTTTATAACTTTAAGCAATATTTGATCTTTTACACCCCCAACCCACCTCCATCAGTCGCTGTTCTGCCATCCAATTACATAAAATCATCAGTTCGGTTATTTGATGTTTTGCTGTCTATTCCATTTGTCTGTGAGTGTCAAATTCTCCAAGCTCTCTTTGCTCAATATATGTCCCAGAAATTTCATCTGCCTCTTTTCTGATTCTACGTACATTTTGTTTTCATTTTCTTTAAAGCTTCCTTGTTGCTCCAATGTTCTGTCTATGGTATTCTCAGCATCCTTCTATAGAATCTCTCTCTGGTTGAAAGGATACGGACGGTTTTAAATATATATGATGATCAACTTCTCCCTACACTGGATCAGCTTTCTTTCTCTTTGAGTCAGCTCTTCAAGTTTCCTCCCACATTTACCTCCAAGTTATCTTTTTTTTTTTTTTTTTACCTCCAAGTTATTTTTTTTTTAAATTAATTAAATTTTTTTTTTTACTTTTTTTTTTTTTTTCAAGTTATTTTTTTTTTTTTTTTATGAAAGTTATTTTTTTTTTTTTTTTCAATCTTTTTTTTTTTTTTAGTAATTATCTTTTTTTTTTTTTTACCTCCAAGTTATCTTTTTTTTTTTTTTTTTACCTCCAAGTTATCTTTTTTTTTTTTTTTTACCTCCAAGTTATCTTTTTTTTTTTTTTTTAAAAAAAAACTTTTTTTTTTAAAACCAAGGAAAATCTTTTTTTTTTTTTTTACCTCCAATTATCTTTTTTTTTTTTTTACCTCAAAATGCTCTTTTTTTTACCTCCAATCGTAAAAAAGATTTTTTTAACTCAAGTTATTTTTTTTTTACCTCCAAGTTATCTTTTTTTTTTTTTTGTCTTTTTTTTTTTTTTTTTTTACCTCAAATTATCTTTTTTTTTTTTTTTACCTAAAAAATCTTTTTTTTTTTTTCAAATCTTTTTTTTTTTTTTTTTTTTTTTTTTTTATCTTTTTTTTTTTTTTTTTACCTCCAAGTTATCTTTTTTTCTTTTTTTTTACCTCCAAGTTATCTTTCTTCTTTTTTTTTTAGCTCCAAGTTATCTTTCTTTTTTTTTTTTTTTTTTAAGTTTCCTCTCACATTTACCTCCAAGATATCTTTTCTTTGTTCAAATTCAGAATGATCTGAAGAACTTTTGTCCTGGGTATGATGATAAACTACATCCATGTCCTGGGTAAGACAGTAAACTACATCCGACAGCAAGGCCTTTGAACAGAAGGTTTTGAGGAGTGTGGAACCATCCCTTAATTGCTGGTGTTCCCAGGCACACCCTGACCTGGGGTGGTAGCACCTGTCAGGGCCCCAGCTATGGGTAAATAGTTACCCAAAAGGGGTCAAAACACTATGAAAGTATAAAAATAGGTTTTAATAACAGCAATACTTTTTGGGAAATTTTTTTACCAGCAATATATTTTTGGGAAAAAAAATATTACCAGCAATAAACATCTTGTCTAGATTAAATAACCCATTGAGGTTGATATGCCGTAAAACAAACCAAACCAAGCCTGAAGAACTTTCTACCAAACTAAAAGTACTTTTGACATATAAAGGAATAACAGTCCAACTCTTTTGTCAATTATTTCTTTGCAAATTTTGTATTTGTTATTTGTGTTCCTTTTATGGGAGACTATTCTCATAGTTTGTTTTTTTCTATCTTAGATTAATTTTGGAACTTGTGTTCCTGTTAAATTTCTTATTCTTCCTTCATATGCCTTCACATTGAAACACCAGTTCCTGTAGAATCACCAAAGTTAAGTAATGTTAAGCCTGGTCAGTACCTAGATGAGTGACCACTTGGGAATACCAGGTGCTGTAAGTTTGGATGTGTTGTTAATATAGCTTATGGCCATATTATGTTGAAACACAGGTTCCTGTACAATCACCAAAGTTAAGCAACGTTAAACCTTGTTTGTACCTAGATGGGTGACTGCTTAGGGATACCATGAATGTGCTCGAAATTGGTAATCAGAGAGATGAGTTCCAATTCTAGTTGGGTCCATTATATTCACTTATATGGAAATAACCATGAGAAAGGCATGAATCCACACCTTCCTCCCACAGCTACGGCTTAATTAGTAAAACTTCTACCAGTAAATTATCTAAAAAAAAAAAATTCTTACAATCTAAAAATATTTTCTGTTAAAGGGTTGATAAACCGTAGAAAAAGAATCAGTTGATCAATGAAATACTGATTATCTACACAGGCATGTCTTTTAGATTTATTTACATTCTCTGGAATATAAATGTATAAAAACTATTGTGGTCAAAAAGTGAGGGATCAGTTTATATATTGATTGTAATATAGAATTGATGCCCCATTTTTTCTCCTCATTATAATTTCTTGTTTGTCTATTAAATTCTGGTTAGTTATGAATCCCCCCCCTTTGTTCCCCCCAGCTATGGCTTAATTAGTAAGACTGGTATTACTAAATCGTTAGTGTTGTAGTTAGGCGTACGAAAAGTTTTTTTTTTTTTTTTCTTTTCCCCGTCCGAGTTTCAAGTCCTAAAAAATTTTCTGCAGATAGTTTTCACAGTGGATGCTTGTATTTCCATAAGTTGTCCTAAATTAGGTTCGACGTACAAAACATTAGGAACTTGAAATAAGAGTTAATGATGCAGCAATCTAGTTGTGATGGTTGGTACTTCAATGTCCGGTATCGACTGACTCGCTCAACACCACTGAGCTCCACCGGCCACTGCTACTACTATTTATTATCTGTGGGAGAGTCTATTACAACAGAATAGGTACTATGGTATAACAGTTAGTATCTCAAAAATAAAAAAATAAAAGAAGTTCTTAAAACTTAAAAACATTTAAATAACCTGCAAAGGGTTGATAAGCCATAGATAACAAATCCAATCTGTTAGGATGCGGTTATCGTGGCTCGGCACAGATTCCGGTCTTCTATAGCTGTAATCAGTGTTTCATTTCATGAAAATTAAACTCTATTGTGATGCAGCTTCATAAGGAGCCTAAAGCCAGTCTGTTTTGCCTCGCATCATTTGAAATGGAAAATGCCGGATGATCATTAAATTGTCAGAAACCGAAGATTCAAACAAAAACAAATAATCAGAGTTAGTTTGGTGTGGAAGCAAATCTGCCAGTAGAATACATTTGATGAGCTCCCAGAGATTATGATTATTATTATAGCTTTGTCCTTTGCTACCGTCTTTGAGGAGCATATCTGCACACAATCAAGGATGAGGAGGTTTGTTGCTATGAGTAAACATTTCCAGTGATGAACAGGATAACGGTCAACTGGAAGACCTGCTTTGTTGAGTCGCCTATCCAAGAATGAGGTCTTATGTTGTGTGGAACAAAGATTTTTTTTTTTTTTTTTTTTTTTAATATTTGTTTTCTTTCATTTTCTTTATTTCCTATTATTTTTTGTTTATTAATCTTTAAAATTTTTTTTTTCTTTTTTTTTTGCAAATGTGTGCATTTATTCTTGTAGATATTTGACGGCTAAAGTGACTCTTATGTGGAATGTTTTGCGTTGTGTTTAGAGAAATTAGCCTAATTAGAAAAATTATTTTCAATCGGTTCCTTTTAATTGGTGTCTGCGAGTGCATGAAAGACTGGCAGGAACGCAACGGGAGAACGAGAGAATGATGCAAAGAAGAAAAACAAAAATAAAGAAATTTAATATAGATGGAAAAAGAAAAGAGTGAAATAATTCCCTACAAGAATGAAAATTAAGAAAGGAAGGAAATAAGGGATGATGAATAAAAGCATTAATAAATGAAAGTAAAATTATAAAATAAAAAAAAATAAAGGAAGAAAGAATAGAGCAAAAAGAAAGAAAGGTGAAGTGAGGAGACAGAAATAAAGAGAAGGACAAACAAAAGAAAGAATGAACAGAAAAAAGAGAAGAATGAAGAAAAAACAAAAGAATGAACAAAGACTAGAAGAAGAATCAAGAAAGAAAAAATTAAGAAACAGAAGAAAGAAAATTTAAAAAATTGTAAAAAAATGAAGATTGAAGAAAAAAAAAAATGAAGGATGAGGGAAAGAAAATAAAAAAAAAATTGTCAAAAATGAAGAAAGATCAGAATGATGAAGAAGAATGAAGAAAGATCAGAATGAAGAAGAAAGATCAGAATGAAGAAGACCAAAAGAAGAAAAAGAATAATAAGGAAAGACCTGTAAAAGAATGAAGAAAGAATTAAGAAACAGCAGTGGAAAGAAAATAAAAAAATTTAAAGTAAAAGAGGAAAAAACATAAAAGAAAACTGTAAAAAAAGAAAAATGGAAGAAGGAAAAAAAAATTTCTAAAAATGAAGGATGGGGGGAAAAAAGTAAAAATTAAAAAAAAAGGCCAGAGAAAAAAAGAATGAAGGAATAATCAAAAAGAGAAGAAGAATGGAAAGCAATAATAAAAGACAAAAGAAATGAAAGAAATAAAAAAAAAAAAAAAAGTGTGAGAATGAAAAAAAATTCACTTTAAATTGAAAAAGAAAAATGTCATGATGAATATAATAAAGACAAAAACAAAGAAAATCGTAGAATTATTTTTTGTTTTGTTCCAAAAATAAAAATACTTCATTAATAGCAGAATTAAATTTATTTTGAAAGGAGCGCATAAGACAGGGCAAAAAGTTCTAAATGAAATATAAACGAACGTCAATTAAACAAGAAGTACAAAAAAGCATATATAAATATGCCCTATAATAGGGAAACAAGGGATTTTAAGCAAGGGTTTTAAGCAGGAAATTAATCAAATTCCTAAATCCATAGAACTGAACATTATTCCATGTTAGCAATGATATTAGCTTGATTTATTTTTAGATGTCGCATCGTCAATTGATGTTTTTAATTTTGACTTGCAATTTTCTTTCATCGTAATTTTTTAATTGCTTTTTATCACAACCTGAATTGGACTTTTAATCTACAGCAGTGAGCAAGCGATGTTCATGAGATGGGGGGGGGGGAATAAGCTGAATGAAAACTGTTTGGCAAACCTAAAAATAACAATAGATAATATTGTTAATAATAATACTACTACTTTTATGTGCCATAGAAAAACAGGGACAGTCATGGCTTTCCACAGCTTCCTTTGTTTCAGTGCTCTCTGTGGTTTTACAGAAGGATGCTGAGGATACCATGGACGGAATATGTGAGCAACAATGAAGTTTTAGAGAAAACAGAAAAAGTAGACTCGTACTTCACGTCCGGAAGAGACAGTGGAAATTTCTAGAACACATAACGAGGAAGGAGGGCTTGGAAAATCTGGTACTCACAGGGCAGATTAAAGGCAAGAGGAACAGAGGAATAACGCATAACATACTTAGTGAGCTTGAGTAAATGAATGACGGAACAGGGTTAAGGAATAACAGACAAAATTTATTAAGACCTACAAAGAACAGGAGATTGTGGAGAGCCATGATCACCTATGTTCTGAAAGGACACAACACATAAAGAAGTAATTCCAAACCTTCTGCCATCTACACAAGCATATTAAATAGGTTACTCACCATTTCTTCCTGCATTCAATGTCCTGTGAGTGTTAGGTTCTCTTAACCCTCTTTCTTCATTATGTGTCCAAGAAATTTCAGCTCTCTCTCTCTTCTAAATAGGAGTTGACATGCCGTTAAATCTAACTTCCATCCATCTCTCTTTTCTGCGGAAAATGAATGATGACCTCTTGGTTGGTAATATTGTCTTTTTTGTAATTCCTTCAGAATTGAGTATGATTGTTTTTCATCACATTTTGTATGTAGTTTGAAAAATTTTCTAACATGTTAAATCTTTTGAGTTTACCATTGTATCCATGCATAAATCACTGTGAAAATAGTATAGGGAATCCCATCTCATTGGAGCTCGATATGAAGGTTTTGGTCAATGCGAATACATTCATTTATAGATGGAAAATGTGTTTCAGGGTCAAAGACTTATAAATTAGAATATAATGATCCTTTCTTTTTAAATTCAAAACTGTTAGGACAACACTTTGCTTCTTCCAATTGAGTAAAATCCTTTATTGTAACAGCTGAAATAAAATCATGTAATTCATCAGTTTGAACCAGTTGTTGTTTTGGAGGCTTTTTGAATTCCCTTCTATTTGGCAAAAGAGACAGTTTTCTTATTTTTTCTGAATATATCGTAGGTATTGGATGTAAATCCCAATTCAGTTTGTTTCATTTTCCTTTCAAAATAAATTTCTCTTCAAAATGTTTCATACAGAGAACTGAATCTTTTGTAGGAAACTAATCAATATGATTAACGAATTTTATCCATTTTTCTGCAGGGTTGGATTTTCCAAGAGGAAAAGAAAATGTCGATACATTTTTGTTGTTAGTAACATATCCTTTAGAACAGCCAAATGCAACACATTTGTTAACCATTTTTGTTATACAAAATATCCAAGAAACTTTATAATTTAATCTTTAAATGCAATGTACTATGAGGTAGAAAATTTACCTAATAGCATTCATTTGCAAAACGGGCTGTCAACGCAATTGAAAATCATAAAAGTGAAGCAACTCACAGCCATTTATAATTAGTGGGTTAGTAGAAAGATGTGTAAATAAGCATTTTAGTGTTGAAAACATATCTAGGAATTGAAATAACATCTGATAAATTCTACATGATTGTATATTGTTAATTTACATTCTAAGAATTCAATTTTTAAAGTTACCTCCCTTTTAGATATACAATTTTCTAAGCGACCATTCACATTTTTTTTGTTTACATTACCTCAGTGTGTTAGAATTCAGCGAGTTATGTTACATGGGGGCGGGGTGGGGGCGTATAATACTAGTTGGCCATGGTTAAACATAGATTTTGTAAAATTAAATTTTTGTTCAAGCACTGTATTAAAATAATAGTCTTTGAGTCGGTAAAAGAATTATAGAAATTTACTTTGTTTTCCAATGTTATATCATAATGATCCTTGTAATGGTTGGCTCCCTGTACCACTCTAGTAAGTACCTGACTCTTCACGCTATCCTCTACATTTTATAAGAGCCAGATCCGGCCTAAAATGAAGTACTGTGGTCATTTTGGGGCAGGAGCTGCACAGTTCACTTTCCAGTTTTGATAGACCAAAAGCATCTCCAAAACCTATTTTTTGCCCTCTGACCTCTCTCTCTCTCACAGGCAAGATACAGCAAGTTCCTCACTGTTCTATTGCTACTTCCATGGAAACGGCTCAGATGAACTACATTCCTTGCTTCCGCCAGTTCTAACCTTCATGGCCAAGACACACAATGCCATTTACATTGTAGTGAACCACTCACATTCCCTCTGTATTCCATCAGTGTAAAGTAAGTTCCACTTGAACAGCTTCTTCCAGAAAACTACTGTTCTGCCATCCATTTATACAAACTTGTCAGGTAGGTTATATTTCCCTGATTACTACAATCTTAACCTGTTCAAGTCTTGGGTTAACTATTATCTTCCTCTCCTATCTGTATAAACTGCCTCTTATTGTAACCCTCCAGGCCATGTACAGGGTTAACCTTACCGTTAAAAAAAACAAAAAAAAAACAACTCTTTTCTCCCATGAGAAAAATCCTTATAGATAACACTGTCGTTCTAAAGCCTTTTTTTTTTTTTTTAAACTAATGTTCACCAAGGCCCGAGAGCCACTCGTAGAGGATTACAGCATGGTGTTGTATTCGTATCAGAAAGGGCAAGAAGTGAAGTGCTTTGGTCTATTCAGGAAAGATAACAGATAATTCTAGACTTGAAAAGGTCAAAATTAAGGAATAAAATTTTAGGGTCAATTTGCAGACATTAGAAATATAGTGTGGAAGTAGACTTTAGAAGTAACTGGAAACCCAATCCTGAACAAGGGATAAACCTCTACTCCTGTTCAAAAGACTGGGGAGGAGTATGAACCGGATGATAGACAAACCTATCTAATGTTTAAAGATAGTAGAAGCATGTTTTATAAAACAGTTTAAGTCAATCCTCAATAACACTTGGTTTGAAACAAGCAGGAACCTGTTAGCAGCGTTCTAAAGGCACACCACCATGACATTTTCTACTAGTCCTAACTAACAGGGATTAGTATTATTACTACTTCTTAACACAGCTTAGAACAAAAATGCAAAAAAATATACTAACAATGAACCCCTTGAAAAAAATGCAAATGAATTGGCTGAAAGTATTTGGGACAATAATCATTGGACAGATTCTACATTCTCTTAGTTTCCATAAAAGAAAATCTGTGAGGTTTTATTTTTGTGTCATGTCAGTTTCATTGTTGATTTCAATCCGAGTGGGAATGACTTCAGAACACTTACCCCTACCCTTTCATAGGCAGAAGTACACAAATGCATGCTGGGATATTTTTCTTAGCCAATAAAAACGGCTGGGTTGCACACGACAGAGTTCAGATCTGACTTGTCTAGAAGACAGACAGCTATTTTCGCTTGTCCGAACTTGCTTTTGTGTGTCAATGCCAATTCTTAGTTTGTGAACTTTTTGCCACCTTATTGTTAATTTACTTTGCATATATTGTTTGCGTGATATTATTTTATGTTTGCCCTTTTTCTTTTTCTTGTAAACTTTGTTAATTCTATTTGCTGGACAGTCCTGTTATTTATTTTGCATTTGACCAAGGCTACTCCACATTTTCAAATATTGCTTGTGTTGTCACGTGGCAGTTCCTACTTTGTTTTTGTTTGATTATTTTTTTATGAAATATATCAAGTATATTTGCTATTAAATTTAATTTATGAATACCAATAAAAAAAACAAGCAATCGAACATCCATAAATTTTAATAAAATTTAGGAAAAAATATAACTCGTATACTAATTTAGGTTATTAGTATATTTTTGTGTTTATATTCTATAAAACCCCACCATGAAAATGACTCACAAATTCACTGAAAGCACTTGGAATAATAATCACCATGGACAATTTCTACACTTTCTTAGTTCCCATAAGAGTCAGATCAGACAAAAAATGGAGTACTGCTACCATATATGGGCAGGAGCTGCCCAGTCTTCACTTTCCAGTCTTGATAGGGTCCAGAAGCATCTTGTGGTCTTGTGGGTGATGAATTATTTTCTAACCTGTAACCCCTCTCCCACAGACGAAATGTTGCAAGCCACTCTCTGATCTCACTATTTCCTTAGAAATTGTTCAGATGTACTAATATCCCTTAAGTCCACCAGTTCTAACATTTGTGGCTAAGAACCAGCTGCTTTGTAGAACAGGCCCCCAAGAGGATGCTTCCCTGATCACTACAATCCTAACCTGTTCAAGTCTAGGGTTAACCGTTATGTTCTCCCACATATCCCCATAAACTGTACCTCTTAACCTGTAATTCTCTATCTTGAGTGGCTCTTGGGCCTTGTACAGGGAGAACATCATTGTAAGATAAAATAAAAACTGCATAAAAGGCTTGTCTGTCACCTTTTAACTTTAAAAGCTACTCACACTAAAAATAATTAAATTAAAAAAATGAAAGCTTTTATAATTAATTGTGCATAAGCCAACTTCATGTATAGTGCGAACCCTGACATTTTTTGGTGGGAGTTGTCAGCTTTAACTTTAAAAGCTACCATATATACTTGTGTATCATGTGACTTTTGAAGACCTAATTTAGAAGCTAATTTTAAAGGGGTAGCATCATACATAAGATATAAAATTAGCATATGTACTGCCAGCTCTGGCTATTCCACTGACCAAACTATATATACATTTACTGTAGTCAAATTAGCTTCAAAATGAGGTCTTCAAAGGTCACATGATATGTGAGTATATATAGTAATCTCACTAAAGAATAAATTAAAAAAAAGCTTTTATAACTTAATAACTAAAAAGGTTTACTTCCAAGAATTACTGTTTATACTTGTGTATAAGACAACTTCAACATATTTTATCTGTGTGTAGTACAACTGGTCATTGAAAATGCATGATTTTTAAGCACTTCAAAAAATTACCTGTGTATAGTGTGACCCCTGTTTCTGGTGTTAAAAAAAAAAAAAAAAAAAAAAGAAAAAAAATGATCATAAAAACCTGGGTATGATGATAAACTACATCTGTGTCCTGGGTATGATGATAAACTACATCCAGCAGCAAGGCCTCTGACTGGGAGGTTTTGAAGACTGTGGAAACACCTCTTAACTGCCGTTGTTTTCCAATTCTACCCTGACCCAGAGTGCTAGCACCTGTTAGGGTCCCAGCTATGGGCAAATAGTGAACCCCCAAACTGGGGTCAAAACTTGAAAATATAAAAATACACTATAAAAAATTATTAGCAATACATTTTTGAAAAACAAAAAAAAAAAATTACCAAAGCTCACAAGAAAAGAAAATTTTGGCATTAATTTAAAAAAAAATTTTTTTACTTTGTTTTTACTAATGTTCATCCACTACAAGGCCCAAGGGCTACTCAAGGTAGAGGGTTACTGTGTGGAGTTGTATTAGCGCAAGAGTAAAATAACAGGAAAGATAGCTAATTCTAGACTTGAAGAGGTCAAGATTTAATTAATGAATAAAATTGACTATTTTTTTAAATAGAGGGCTTTAACTTCTTAGCTTGTTCTGACCCAGATATATTTTCAGACAGTTCATGACTGTACCATAAACAGATCGAGCAGTATTATTAAAGAAGTTAATATGACTGGATAATCAAGAAAGCCATTTTTACCTTGCCAATAAGTCTAATAAATAATTAAATAGCACCCCAGATATGTCAATCAAAATAGCCGATAAAAGCCCCTTATTAAATTGTCTAAACCATCCCAAGCTTTTAATGAGTAAGGAGCAAATTTGATTTATTCTGGTCAGTATAGGGAGATAAGGGATTTGTTTGAATCTCATTAACCAACATATTTATTGGTTTGCCCGAAGGGGTGAGCAGGAGATAAATGCCATGTATTGCAGAACTCAACAAGGGGTGAGAAATGTCACTGAAGGCAGGGCTAGAAAGCCAGCCTCTTTAAGAGACTCTGCTGTGTTGACAAGAATGGGAACCGTAATCTGAAATTGCCATCAATATTAACGTGATTACAACAATCTTGTTGGGATTAGTGAGGGAGTAATCTGGAGTTGTGACTTCATAAATTGGTCTGATTGGATTAGCTATAATCCTAACCAGGTGCTATAAAGGTCGGATGTGATCTTTAAAAAAAAAAATAAAGAAAAGTCCTGAGAAATAAGAAAATTTCATTAGACATAAAGAAAAGTGCTGAACTGCTATGCAATATATCTCTTCCTATATGGCAGTAAATGTTGGACAGTTTCCTCTCAAATGAGAAGACTGGTAGTTCTACAGAAGGATGCTGAGAATATCTTGGATGGAGGGCATAAGAAAAGAAGACATCTTAAGGAAATTTAGAAAACAAAGGGTCACTTGTCTATATTTCTGGGATGAAGTATTCTAACTATTTACATTGTTTGGACTGTTGTCCTCGTCTTTATTGCTATATGTTTTAGCCATTGTACACTCGGGGGAAGGAACTTGGAGAGTTATCAGTGAGAATGAGCTAAAACTAAGATATCCAAAGGCATAGCATGTAGAATTAGAACAATCTACCCCCTGGGAGGCACGGTGGAGTAATGGATAGTGGCTAGGATTGAGGAATTGGAGAGAAGAGTTTGAATTCCAGTTGAATCCATTACATTCACTTACGTGCTAATATCCTCCTACGCATTATATACAATGCAGATAATGTATTTAGACAAATGTCAATACATTAAATAAAACAAATAAGATAACCAACCCCCAAAACAAAAACCAAGTAAATAAATAATAAGCAAATTAACAAACTACGGATACACTTATAAAGACAAGTAAATTAAATTTAATAATAATAAACAACAAATAATTAATGAATAAACACAAAATGACCTAAGTAATAATTAATGAGTTAAAAGTTAACAAGCAACACTTGTAGCCCATCCACCCTCTCGGCACACACTCCCCTCTCCCATTCAAGCTCCATCTATCCTTTTTTCTCTCTTCTTCCTCTGTTGATACTTCTGCTAGCTATGTTTAGTAATACCAAACTTATAGATCACCCAGCTTTACTTTCCCTCTTTGGTAGCACCCCCTCCCCCCTGGTGTATTGTTTTGACAGGGTTAATTCACATGTCATAAAATCTTACAATATTGGGGATTGACAGTGAAGTCTAGTGTGGACCTCTTTATGCACGTACTGTACTGTAGTTAAGAATGAATAATTCTCAACTTATTGTTGTAATTTTTGCCTCTATGCATCCAAGCCATATTGGAATCAGGCTGGAATAAGAACTCCTTCAATAAAATACAGAACATTGTTGATAACTCTATTTTACTGAATATAAAGAAAAACTGGTTGAATAAAATCAAGTTCTCTACTGCAGGATGGTGATCTGGGAACTCTAGTTGCAAACACTAAAGTAATAACCAGCCAGTTGACTCTCACTCAATTATTCTGTAATGAGTGTGTTTTTGATTTGGCCTAAAGAGTTCTTACTTACATAAACAACTCCCCCTAAAAAAAATTGACATTTATATATATAATTTCTCCACCCCAACTGTCTTATTTTATAACATCTTGTTAAAAACCATATTGTACTTTCTTTATTTAGACTCTTCCTAGATAACTTCTGTAAAGATAATTGTGTTCTTGAGTAATCAACATAAACAAATCCAAAGTGAAGGAATAAAACAAAATTCTTCTTTGTCTATAATAATTTGTAAGAATGCACACGCTTTGGACAGATAGTATAATGTAAACAAATCCATGAACTTAATTTCTCAGGACCAAAGACATTCAGACAACACATTAATCCTGTCATCTTATCAGCAGAAGGAGAATAGGATTGAGAACCTTGGATTTGTTCAATTTTACTAAATCTTGGCGAGTTAATTCTGGGTTTGATTCTCTTCAAAACTGTTTTTAAATTCATTTTTTTTTTTTTTTATTTTAAAGCATAATTGGTAACCTGTTTCTTTTTTTTTTCATTTTTTTTCTCAACTATTTCACCTATTTTCCTGAGAATTTTACTAATTATTATCCAATTTGTAGTCCCTCCAAATCACCATCCTGTAATTTCAAGCAATTGAATGTTTAAACAGGGTCAGTGCCCTATTACACTCTATACAATAGCTACAAATAATTGTGTTCAGATCCACAATTATTTCTACTCAATAGCCTCTAGAATAATTTGAAATATAATCATTACTATAATGCCCTATTGGCCAGCATGGACAAATAGTCAAGCCAACACACATGGCCTGAAGATTTTGTTCAAGCATGAAACAGACTGTTGCCTCTCAGTGTTGTCCTTAGTGTCCACACATACACATACATCTAATATAATATGAATTTTAACATATTTCTCTCATATATAATAGAAATATAATATTAGGTATTTAAAATTTATGCTAAGCTCATTGCGAAATGCAAGTCTCAGTTATTCAAACATCAGTTAACTATATTTCTTTTAAAGTTCAAAGGACTGAGATAATTGGAGCCTTGCAGCTGGACCGTTCCCATACTGCTTTGTAGATCCTTACCTCTAGATTTTCTTCATACTGCTTTGTAGATCCTTACCTCTAGATTTTCTTCATACTGCTTTGTAGGTCCTTACCTCTAGATTTTCTTCATACTGCTTTGTAGGTCCTTACCTCTAGATTTTCCTCATACTGCTTTGTAGGTCCTTACCTCTAGATTTTCCTCATACTGCTTTGTAGATCCTTACCTCTAGATTTTCCTCATACTGCTTTGTAGATCCTTACCTCTAGATTTTCTTCATACTGCTTTGCAGATAAATCCTCAACTGCAGACTTTCTTTTACTGCTTTGCAGATAGATCGTCACTTGCAGACTTTCCCCATACTGCTTTGTATTTGTATCCATGTAAACTACTGGATCTCAAAATTTGGTTTCATAAGGAAGTGAAACTTCCCCCAGATGATATATTTTTTTAAAAAAATGAAATGCAAGAAAATTCTTTTAACAAACTTTATTAACTGAAAATACACGTAAAATAATTCTATTTAAGGAAATTATCTGAACAAATTAACCACAGCTTTATTTATATTTTTTTAATGAAATTTAAATATATATTTCAGATAGTAATTCATCAGATGTGGTGATGCAATGGTTTGTAAGACGGTTGTGCAGTGCATTTGTAGAGAGTTCACTCCTTACTGAGTGCCCTATACTTCTGATAAAACTAATCTATCCTTTGTCAATACAGCAGAAAGGACTTTTGGTTTCAGAGTCTAATTAACAATATTCAATTTTCAACTTCATTAGGATGATTAGTGACATGAATACTGTTTCTTGATTAACATATGATTTTTGCTTCTTTTTCCACACAATTACATATCCAAGTAATTAAAAAAAAAAAAAAAAAATAAGTAAAACAACATTGTATTTATCTCAAAATTAAACCTGTGAAATTACTTTGTTGTGTTTTCATAGGTTTGTTCAACAAGGCCTCAAATTATGCTTGTCAGCAAGATTGTTTTGAAACAAAATCCTCAATCAGTCTAATTTCGAAAGAAATGGCTGTGAGGAAAACAAGAGATAAATTGATAATATTTGTTAAAATATTTTTAAAAAAAATAAAGTTCTTTTATTAAATTTGTCAATCTTGTGGTTTATTTATGAAAAAGTGAGGGTCTTGTAGTATATTTGAAAAGGTCTAGTTTGGTATAGCAATATTCTTTATTTTTGGATATGACATCGAAAACATGTCAAAATTGCTAAACAATTGCAGTCATGTTTCGATGTGTATCAAAGTATCTCATCAGGCAATTATAAATTACAATCACCTGATGAGATACTTTGATACACATTGAAATATGACTGCAATTGTTTAGCAATTTTGACATGTTTTTGATGTAATATCCAAAAATAAAGATGTGTGTGTGTATTTTTGTTTGCTCTTTTTATCGTCATCATTTATTTATTTCTTAATAATATTTGTAAAATAAGGTTCTTAAAATAAAGTTATTCAACTGCTGTTTATTTGAAAAATTGAGTTGTGTAGTAAATTTAAGAAGCTGTGGTTTACAAAAAAATTGTATATAATAATTTGCATGTATATTGATTATCTCAAAGTGAAGTCTGTACAATTAGTTTGTCATGTTTTCTTCATAGCTGTGTTAGACAAGGCCTCCAATGATGTTTGTCAGTCAGACTGTTTTCAAACAAAATCCTCATTAAGTCTAATTGCAAAAGAAACAGCTTTGAAGAAAACAGGAGGGAAGTTAATAGCATTTGCTAATAATGCTTCTTCACAAACATTTGTACCGCCATGAATTTCTGCTTTCTAACATCATCCATGTTTGTGGTCTGCAGAGAAATAAGTTTCCCATTTCAAGCTCTGTGTATCCAAAGATTGGTTTTTGCACAGGTCTGTCATATTCACAGCCAAGAACAGGGAAGAATGTTGGATATCCGAAACTCTACGGGAGTGGATTATGTCAATTTTGTAAAGAAATCTTGTAAAAACCTGCAAAGGAAAAGAAAAGCAATGTTACAATAATAAATGTACTTAAAAAAGAAAATATTTTGAAAAGAATGCTGATGATCATGGCTCTCCACAATTTCTTGTCCTTTCTAGCTCTTAATAAATTTTGTCTTTTTGTTATCTCTCCTAAGCTTTATTCTGCCATCCATCTACTCAAGCCTGCTAGGCAGGTTATGGTGATTTTCTAAGCATAGCTTAGATGTGGCACAAGGCCAAAAGTATGGGGGCACCCAGTTAGAATCAACCTCACTACTCTGTCATAATTTTTCTAGCGATTCAAACTTGTTAACCATTACATCATATCAAGGTAACCATGCTAGGTAGCTTATGTATTGTTTTCTTCTGTCCCTCTTGCTGTCAATCTGTCCTGTGAGTATCAAATTTTCCAAGCCCTCTTTCCTTTTGTGTGCTAGAAATTTCAGCTCTCTCTTCCTAATGTTAATTATCTGTCATTCAGTTCATGGTATTCTCAGCAATGTAAAACATTTCTGTTGTTTTAAAGCCTCTTCTTCAAGGAACAGAAATGAGAACTGATATTACGTCCTAGCTTCTGGAAGACACTTTCGTTATCCCAATGTATCTTTGGATAACAGTGTCACACATTCTGTCCTCTGTTAAAACATTTCCCAGATATTTAAATTGTTGTACTTGTTTGATTTTGGTTTCTCCAATTTCTTTTGTTAATAACCATGCATTCGGTCTCTTTGCAATTTCTCTACCTTCTCTAGGAGTTCTTGTAATTTCCATTCCATATTTGCTATCACGTCCTGGGTAAGATGATAAACTACGTCCAACAACAAGGCCTATGATCAGGAGGCTTTGAGGAGCGTGGAACCACCTCTTAATTGTTGGTGTTCCCAGGTCCACCCTGACTCGGGGTTGTAACACCTGTTAGGGTCCCAGCTATGGGCAAATAGTTAACCCCTCAATCTGGAGTAAAAAGCATTATAAAAGTTTAAAAATAGGTTTTAATACCAGAAATACTTTGTAAAAATTTATTAACAGAAATAAATTTTTGAAGAAAGAAAGCTGTTACCAGCAATACATTTTTTAAAATAATATTACCAGCAATACATTTTTTAAAATAATATTACCAGCTATACATTTATGAGGAAAAAAATATTACCAGAAATAGATTTTTGAAAGAACAAAAATATTACCAAGAAAAAAAAGTTGTCAGCATTAAATGACCCATTGAGGTTTTGATATGCTGTAAAACAAAACAAAACAAAAACCATATCTGCTATCAACACAGTATCATATGCATATCTAATGTTAAAATTGTGGCTGCTAATAATGAATCCCGGTAGGAATTCTAATTCTCTCAGAATCACCCAACTGTATATAGGGTGAATAAATCAGGTGCGAAGGCACATCTTTGTCTTACGGTGCTTTCTATTTTTGTATATATACTGAATTCATTTTCTATCCATAGGGAGGTGGTTGGCTTCCAGTTATGTTCTGGATTATTCAAATATTCATCCCAAATATGTCAAGGTTAACAATTCCAACAGTTCTTTGTACAAAATTTGAAAGTACTCAGCTTATGGACACATCACATGGAACTGCTACTTCTGGTATGATCACCAAAGTTAAGCAACGTCAAGCCTGGTCAGTACCTAGATGGGTGACTGCTTGGGAATACAAGGTTCTGTAAGCTTGGATGTGAGGGTGGTGTAATGGATAACGGCTCGGAATTGTTAATCGGAGAGCCAAGTTCCAATTCCAGTTGGGTTTGTTATACCTTTGAAAACGGTATAAATCCCCCCCCTCAATCTTTTAGCAAGACTTGTGTCACTAAATCGTTATCCCCCCTCTCCCCGACAAAAAAAAAAATTCTTAAAATCTAAAAATATTTTCTGGCTTTTAAATAACCTGCAAAAAGTTGATAAGTCTTAGCGGATGAATCAATCAATCGTTGAAAGCACTCAGAGAGTGCATATTTCTGCCAGTTTTTCCGAAATTGAAATTAATTTTCAGATAATTACCTCCCTTTCAAAACAATGATGGCATTTTCATACATTTCTGATTATTTTTAATATCAGAAAAAGGTTACATGAACAAGCATGTCAAATGGATAAAAGAGAAAAGTTTGTTTTTTTTTTGTTTTGTTTTTTTATAGATAGTTTTTATGCATATTTTTCACTTTAATTATATACAAAAACCATAAATTTCTGGGATGATGTATTATCATTATTTATACTATTTGCATGTGGACTATTGTCCTCATCTTTGTTGTTGCTATCACGTTTTGGCTGTTATGCCCTCCAGCCTGCATGAAGGTTGGAGAGCAAAAATGTCTGTATTTGGTGTAAATAAACATTATAAAAATGATATTTTAATTTCTTTATATATATAATATATATATATAAAAATTGCAATAAAGGGAGATAAATATTTGAAATTGGAAATGTTTGCACACATAATACACCAGGAAAGGAATGAATCCTAGTAAGTAGTAACTTCATGAATCCTAGAGTTATTAATTGACGATATCTGTGTTTTACAACTTAACTCATACAGATATATTCCTTGCTCTTCTGATCATTGCGTCACTGCCATTTTGTTTACACTACATAAGAAGATAAGATATATTTCAATTATCTTAGATTAAAAAAATAAAAAATGAAAACATGTTCCTACATTTAAGGAAAACAAATGTTGGGTTTCTAAATTGAATCTATTTTTCCAATAGTATGAGACTCCTTGAAGCATTCCTTATTTGCACCAAGTTGTCACCATTTTGTACCTCTTTTTTTCTTTAATTGTACACATTTCAGCCCTTTATTGTGTCCACATGATACTAGTTCAATTTAATTACTGTTGTCCACCCTTTGAGAAGCATGTATGCAGATATAGTCTTTGAAGGAAATAGGTTAAAAAAAAAAAAAAAAAATGACAAAAATCAGATAAGAATAAATAGGGAGAGAAATCTATTTGCTGGATAACGCAGACATGAAATTGCAGGTACTAACAGTAAAGTGAGGTTTGATGATCATTAAGATGTTCAGGTGTATCATAACTGATTAACATTTAGTCACTGAATATGCATACAGTTATCAATTGTTGAAAATGAAACTAGATAGAGTTTCTGACCATCTGGTGAGTATTTGCTTGATTAGACTCTGCTAATATTTCTCTATATTGTTTAACACTTTCACTGCTACTCATTTGTCCAGTGCTGCCCCCATCCGATCAGCCATTTTTAAAGAAACTGCCAAATTTCAACCTACATATTTTATTACACCGAAAACTGGCACCAGTGTGTTTTACAGCCTTCCATTTTCATGGATATACCTGGGAATGACTTACCAGATAAGTAATGGGTATATACATATATCTTTTGAAAAATATTGTCCTTTGTGATTTGACGATA